TTATGCCATATACTTCAACATTAAAATGCCTTTTATCATATTTCATAAAATTAATTGTACAAACCCAACCTATAAATTTGACACATTCATCTAGGTCCATAGGGTTAAAATCTGAGAAGTATCTCATTTTATTAGCACGCCCCACTTATAAATGCCGTAGCCTAGAGGTGTTACTAGAGAGTACCAAACAAGAAATGGAGGGAGAGAGGGCGTGTGCGTTATCCTTTTGATCTGGCTAACATTGATTGTGTATGTTCCAAGCCCTCATTGACACAGTTTTTATCGTTTAAGAGGCAGGCTGCTTCAGCCTTGTCTCTCAGGGTCCATCCAGGCTGAGGGAGCTGTGGCTTCCCAGGAAACATAGTTAACTCACCGCCAGATCTGTGGAGTTTTTGATAAAATTAATAGATAGACGACTGCCCTAACCGAAACTCATTAAGTTCAAGTTACATAAAAATAACCCTTCTATTACTCGTTATGTTTCGGGGTTGGTCTTTGAGGATATGTAATGGCTGTCCTTTATGAGTCGATGGAGCATTGTCTGAGTTATATTGTGTGATAGCTGAATAGAATTTAGATTTTTTTTCTCCCAGACAATCCAAAATGCGTTTTGGCACAATGCTGAACTCATATTGCAATATTTTAAAACTAATTGGGTAGGTCGGATCTGTACTTTTCTAGTGAAGAAGATGACAACGATTTGGAAAAATCGCTCACATTATAGGCAAGTATTTATGGTAATACACTTTATTGACCTTCTATTAGAAGTTTGCCTTGTCTGTTCCAGGATTCTGATGCAGACGGTGGGTCTGGGCTCCTGGATGCTCCTCCTGGCTAAGGCAGGCTTCTCCTCCGCCGTGGGACTTATCTCCCTGCAGATGTACCTCAGCATCCCCTCGCAGGGAACCAACTCCTACTACTAAACAAGCCATGTTTGAAAGTTACACCCCCCCCCCACTACGAAAAAAATGGCACGCAAAAGTTACTCCTTGTATTGAAAAAGCAAAGCTCATACGTAACTCCCTCTTAGGAAATAGCAGTACTCTTAAGGAACTGCTACTACTGTACAATAGCGACATTCAACAGAACTCGGACAAAGAAAGGAGTGACTTTCAAAACTATCTCCTACGTATATGAAAAAGCGACCTTCAAAGAAAGCTCAAACTAAGAAAGAATAGAGAATGGTAATGTTACACAGCGCTACGCGATAAAAAGGGCATGCAGTCAACTCAGTTTGGTATGATGCTGGGCTAGGGTGTGCATGGCCCTGATTCAAATCACCAATGGGGCATTCGCTGGACATTTGGTCTTTTTTTTTTGGTGGAAATTTTTAGGCTCTCCACTCCATTTTTAGAAGAGATGGATGTCAAATTCTGAGGTCCAGCCTCAAGTATAAATATTTACAGTAGTGTAAAAGGAATTTGACCCAGACAGTTATCCATTTTTATTTCTCACCTTTAATGAAATAATAATAAATAGCATTGGTATAGTACATATCCTCGCTGGACAGCAAGGTCTTTGCGCTTTACAATCTTAAGATAGTCTTCGTATTTTGTTGTAGTCATCGCGATCCCTGGGTGTCGTTGACGTGTGCGACCAGGGAAAAGGTTTGTCAGAGTGAGGCTTCACAGATGCTAACCTGTGATACCTCCAACGGCTGAATGTGTATGTGACTTTTCTTTCCATGCATGTCAGTCTGACTGGTTTTCTCAGACCTATTGATAATAAGATCTTGAGCATTCTGTTTTTCCTGTGAAAGACATATGTTTTTTTTGTTTTTTTTCAGCTATCAAAACCATTTCCATTCTGAATGAAGGACACAAGACATGTAAATAACATGAATCCTTCTCCTTTTTTGTCTTTTTAATACCTTTAAAAGTCTTTTTTTGTAGTTTTTTTCACAAGTCCCGATGATATGAAATATGCTGCCGCTAGTCAAAATGGGAATTTAAAAAATCAGTTTAAATGTCTTAATTGGTTGCTATAGATTGAATTCCATTTCAGAATTCGTTATTCGTTTACAAACTTAATTTTGTAGCTGGATATATATTTATTAAATCAAAATTTAATGAACATAGAATTCATACCCCATTTTGATTGGACACGTTGCTTATAATGTTTTCTTGATTTTTGTCTGTAGTTCTTGTCTTATTGTCTCTAGTTCTTGTCTTTTTGTCTATTTGCATTATCCGTCGTCATTGCTCTTCTCCTTCCTGATTCCTCTTCCTCCATGGGGTTGGGGCGGGTGATAAAATCAATAGACACACTTTATACCAAGTGTAAAGATGTGCCCTGTTTTACACTTGATTAGAACACGCACACGTCTATTGTGGGATGTTCAGTCAGGTGCGGTGTTTGCTTTGGTGTGTCTTCTTTGGAGTCTGTCCTTCCTTTTTGTCAATTCTTCCCCCATTATGTGGAGTCTTCTCCCTTTTTCCCTATTCTTTCCAGTGGGCCAAGTCTCCTGCCTTCTTTCCTTCTTTCTCTAGTCGTCCCACCAGGCCAAGTGCTCTACCTTTGAAATGTCTACTCATTTTATGTAGGGTCTTTGGCTAATATAAAAACTATAAAATCTTCAAAATCCCTCTAAATTTCTCCTCTCTCCTAGGCTCTGCTTATTTACCATCCCACTGTTACATCTGTCTTTTTTCCTAGTACTAAACGGTTGTTGTTGTTTTAATGTTCTTTCCTTTACGAATTAAACGCAAAAAAACATGGTCATTCCTCATTAAATGCTCTCAGTCCCCAGTTATTTTTTTTCTCACTGTTTTTGCCCTTTTCCAAGAGATAGCCAGACTCTGCTTTTACTTCTAAATGGAACCCCCACAGAAATTACATCGTGAAAGAGCATGGGAAAAAATATGGCATATATGTGTAATCAGCCGTTTGAAGGAAATCCGAGAATCTGGACCAAGTCGACTTTTTAGGAAAAAGATTTGATTCAAATGAACATGTCTACTTCTGTTTATCTTAGTTTTACCTCATTTTCTGTATTCAGCGAATATAGAAATGTTCTTGAGATCGGACAATTTGAACAGACGCTCGTGGTTCAAGAAGTTTTATTTTCCGATTTGCCACAAAACAAAATCTGGTTGATCTAGATACTAGTTTTTCAATTCAAATGGCAGATGTGTGGTCAAACAAGGGATGACGGAGAGCTTGTTGGTGTAGTAGAAATGTAGTGGCTTTTATCTGTGTGTGGTAATGGTATGCATGAAGTCTTGTTTTGTGTGCCTATTTCAAGCTTTGGGTTGGTATGATTGCGAGGATCCATTTTTAAGGCTTTTCTTTGTACGCAGAGAGAGATATATATTGCATATATATGCATCGATGGTAACAGTCACAAAATGTGTCAATCCGAAATTACTTCTTTTAAAGAAACAATGTTCGAGTGTTAGCCATGCCACAGAAAACAGATCTGTATGCTTTTTACGCTAATGTCATATTTGACAACTTTCACACAGTTACTGTTAACTTGCGCATGGTGCGAGTGGGTTTCCAATTGGTCCTTTCAGGCGTAAATCAAATTTGACTTAATTTCGGACTTGCATGGTTTGTGATTGCTACTGTTGACCTGTAGAGTGTGCTGATTGGTGTGGCGTCTGCTGAGACGTCGTTCTTCATCTCCATCTCTTACAGTCTCATCAATATTTTATTGTCATTTTATTACTACTATTACTATGTTGTGATTGAAGTTCCTCAGAAGTGACGAATGGCTTGAAGTAGAGGTAAAGATGAGTGGGTAGTGGTTATGTGTATGCTCAGGTGTACCTGGATATTTATTTGTTTGGAAAATGGAAAGTGTTTCATGCTGATGGAATAAATGAATAATCTTTTCTGTAATAGCTGTGTGTAGTTTGGTTGTGTTTTCTGCAGAGTGAGACCTTGATTGTGAAAGTTTCAACTCTTATATATTGATCATTATTATCTTTTATGTGTAGCAGCAGAGACCCCAAAGACTACACCACAGGTAATAATAATGGTAATAATTGATTAATAAATGATAATATAATAATAATAATAAATTCTAAAGCACCTACCCCTTGATGACTCTAGGTGCTTCACATTAAAATAAGATTAAAATAAATGTGTTACGCGTACTGACTCATTCAGTGTACAACAATTCTTTCAAATGCATGTAATGTACGCCCGTAATCTGACAAAGGACATGCACACAAAAAGACAGTCATTGTGACTACTGATCATACTTGTCCGGTACAAGTCTGGTACCTTAACCACGTGATCACCGACCCCACCCAGCTGAAGCAGGTCTCCTTTGTGAGGTAGCGTGGTGGAATCAGGCTCTCGTCAAAATAATGAAATCGAAGAAAATAGCATTTTTTCCCTGCTTAGCAATTTTTATCAAATTTTTTTTTTTTGGCTCAACAACTTTTTATGTCCATACAAACACATTCCTTTGAGGATTTCACCGAAAAACGTTGATTAAAGGCACAAAAATATAAATTTACAGTTTTTATGGACTCTCCAGCTTTGGAATTTACCAAGCTTTAACAGCCATTTCTCGCTAATTTTACCTCTTAAACCAGGTGACCCCCACCTCATTCAATCCGAAATATCTCCTCTTCTATTTAAGATTGATGGATATTTTTTCATCCAAAGACAAATGAACAAGCTTTAAGATGATACCAATAACTCAATATGCCCAAAAATTGACGAGAGCCTGATTCCACCGCGCTGCCTCACGTTATGGTATACATATTGTATGTACATTGACATCCTACATAATATGTACTTTCCACACGGACTCGTCGGGTGGTTGGAGGGCGCCACTGGTACATGTCTTTTTGTAGGTCCTACCTCTTTACGACTTTACGTTCCCCCTGTTGTTTCTGTTTGTGTGGGTGGTTGGACGTCACTAGTAGGTATTTCTTCCTTACTTCCCACTATTGTTTCTGTCTGTCTGTCTTTTCCCCAGCACTAAATGACCCTTATTGTGTCGATGTACTTCTCTCTACTAAGACAAATAAACGTACACGGACACCGGGGGCTCTTAGCCCCATTCACATGCTGGACTATAGTGCCGATGGTCCTGGTTCAAATCCTGTAAAGGAAATTTCTCTAACTTGATTGCGTAGTTTTGATGCTTTTTTCAAGGCTGTCAACCTACTTTGACTCCCAGTGGGTTGTTGGCGGGTGCTCTGGTGTGGTTTGCTCCTTCTTCCCTATCAAACATGCATCGTCTTTATCTCCCCTCCTTTTTTGTGTTTGTTACTCTCTTGTAACACCTCAAATCTCGGCTCTTATACTTATATCAACACAATAAGGTCATATAAGTTTTATGACCTTAGTGTGTTGCAAGTGCCGTAAATCACTTACTAAAACTAAAACTGACTTGATCCTATCGGAGATGAACGTTGAATTCAGAAAGCCCGCCTCCTAAATAATCTTTAAACTTTATAGTGTTGAAAGGGATGCGACACCCATACACTTACCAAAAACTAAGAATCTTGGGGAGACAAAAACTCACGTCACAATAGATCTTTTAAAAAAGATTCTAGAATGGCGTTGGTAGCCTAGTGGTCAGAAGACTACAACGTACCGGACACGTAATCGTAAGATTTCGAGTTTGGGGGTTCGAGCCTCAGATCGGTCCGACATTGTGTCCTGGGGAAAGGCAATTTACGCGGTTTTCCCATTTGGCTCGGTCCTTTTGGAGATGGACGTTAAACTTGGAGGTCCTGCCTGTTAAAATAACCTAATAGGGTTTAGAGGGGCGTTAAACCTTAACAATTTAACTACTTTTACCGAAATGCTAAACCCTTCAGCTCGTCACTCGGTGGGTGGGTGGTTGGAGGATGTCACTGACAGTAACAGGTTTTGCTTCTGTGCTATCCCTCTGTTGTTTCTGTCTCTTTGTCTGTTTTACTTTTTCCCTTCAACTGATCAATCTTAACGTTCTCACAAGTGCAAGATTAAGAAGGGGACCACTAAAT